GGAACAAACATGCACAGACTGCAAAATGATGAATCACTGAGTCCTGTCAATCTTAGTAGTCAATCAAGGAAGCCCATTCCTTTAAGAAAAGTAACCACCCATAGCAAATAGGGATAAAAACCCCAAACGCTTTGTTACCAGGCCTTTTGAGTCATGCTTCTCTTGCTCAGGCCTGCTTCCACTTCTGGAAGTGTACTTTCCCTTCTAATAAAATTTTTCTTTTCTACTGTATTTCGGTGTCTTGCTCAATTCTTTGTTTGAGACATCAAGAACCTGGACAACGCGTCGGGAGAGGATCCCCACTCTCTGGTAACAATTCCGCTTCTATTCAGTTAGAAAAAAGGAGAAATAAACTTGTCCTTTGTAATCATTTATTCTACAAACATCGCATGCATATTAAAAAGATTGAGTCAATGACAGGGTAACCTTGCAGGAAAAAAAGGGGAAAAATTGTCAACTTCGATGTTAAAATTTTAAAATTTTAAATTGAAACTTCTAAATTGCAGCTCAGATTCTGCAAACTGTGAAAATATTTTTAGACTCTTCTAATGTTTATATAAACTTGAGTGTGGCCCTTTGGGAAAGAGATTGACTAGTCTCATGGAAAAAGAGTGTGGCTCCAGAATCAGGCTCCAAATCAGGCTCAACCAGGCCCTGCTGCTAACTAGCTATATAAGCTTCAGAAAAGTCACTGAATTTTCAGTTTCTGCATCCATAAAAAGGGATGATAACACTTCATTGGTTATTGTGTTCTCCCATTCTCTCTCCTCTGATTACCTCTCAACTTATCCTGTAAAACTCAAGAGCCCACCACCTTCCAAGAGGCTATCAAGAATAAATCCATCATGTAATGTACAGCACAGAGAATACAGTCAATAATATTGACTGTATTAGATTCACCAGAGTGATCCCTTCGTAAGGTATATTATGTGCCTAATACTATGTTGTACACCTGAAACTAATAATATTGTATGTCAACTATAATTGAAAAAAAAAAAGTTAAAAAAAAGAATCTATGATGCTTCATGATCTGTTTTCTCCATAAGTTTAAGCCTTAAACCCCTCTGATCATCAATCATTGTGCATTCTCACTCCCATCATGCTCTGGATATCCCCTTAGCTGAACCTGACACCCATGACTTCTCTCCTTCTCAAAAGTTACCACTGAGCCAGAGGGGCACCCACTAGATAATTGCCCTTATATCCGCATCTTCCTCTCTGAAAGTCCTTCCTTGTCCTTAACTACTTAAACCTTGCTTGACCCTGCTTGGGGACACCAAGTTTGCTGAAACTCTTTCAAGTAATAATCATTTTCTCTTCTATATTTCATCTACTTTAGGAGTCTTTCTCTCTATTTCAACTCCTGGTATTTGTTCATTCAACAAGTATCTCACTCCTGTGACATGTAAGGCATTGTGGGTAGGGCGGAGGACATCCTAAGTAACAAAATAAACAAAATCTCTAAATGGGGAGCTTAAATTCAAGCGGAGAAGAGAGAAACAAGCAAGACACGAAAGATAAAGCAGGAAGTCATAATGAGAATTTTGTTCAGGGGCAGAATACTTAATGCAAATGGAGTGATCAGTAGCATTTTAAGTGGAGGCATGAAGGACAAGAAAGAGCCAGCCAAGCAAAAAATTAGGTGGTAAAGAACATTTCAGACCAAGGTGACAACCAGGCCTCCCAAAAGACCTTCTCTTCCTCAGCAATCTATTCTGTGGTCACACAGGAAAACCTGAATACTAATTGAAACTGGCCATCCTCTGACAACTTTCTTTTCTTACAGCTCACTTGTTCAGTAGCTTCCATCTCATCCAGAACTCTCATCTATTGACCATTGTTCTCCATTGAGGCTCTCTTTTCATCATCTTCACTTAACTATCCAATTTATAATTACTCTCTTACATACACTTTCAATCCCCTGACTCTCCCTCCTTCCTTCAAGTTAACCTAGCAAAATCTCAATCACTCTGCCTTCTCTGAGACTATCTCTGTGCCAGTGAGAACTGCTAAACACGACGATCACAGACAGACTGGGATCATGATAAATTCATGATGGCTAATTTACATGGATCTTCTACACTGCCCGGCAGTGCTCGGTTCTATAATAGTTCCCTTCCCCATTCTCTCTAATGACTATTTAATATCTTCTCTGCTCCTGCCAACATTTCTACTCACTCTAGATTTGGCTGTCATGATACTCTACTACAATAGCTTCCCCTATCTTTCTGATTATTTCTTCTTAGATTCTTTTGTTATTTCCTCTTCTGATCTAAAGGTTGGAGATCTTTAGGCCTCAGACATAGGCAGGCCATTTGCCCTCATTGTTCTGTTCTTCCCAGGTGATCTTATCTATGTGCATGGCTTTAAACATCATCTGTATACTATTAACTTCCACATTTCTTTTTCCCAGACCACCTCCTTAGTTTGAAGATCACCATCCTACTTTGAAATACCATCATTTCCTGCAGATATTACTATAATAACTCTTAATAGATTTCTCTAATAGTTCACAGAGTCTCCACATAGAGTGATCTTTTTGAGATATAAATCAGATCATGTCATTCCCTTACAACTTTTCACAATTCTCAGAACAAAAACCTAAAACGTGGCCTCTGTTTTAGTTTCTCATGGCTGCCATAACAAATTACCAAAAACTTGGGAGCTTAAAACAACAGAAATTTATTCTCTCACAGTTCTGAAGACTGAAAGTCCAAAATCAAAGTGTTAGCAGTACCACATTCCCCGCAAAGACTCTAGAGGAGATTTCATTCCTTGCCTCTTCCAGCTTCTGGTGCCTTCAAGAGCTCCTTGGTTTATGGATCAATCACTGCTGTCTCTGCCTCTGGCTTCATATGGCTTTCTCATATCTCCTTTGTGTGTCTCTTATAAGAACACTTGTCATTGGATTTTGGGCTCACCCAGATAATTCTAGATGATTTCTTCTCAAGATTTTCAAATTAATTACATTTGCAAAAATCTTTATTTACAAATAATGTCACATTTATAGGTTCCAGGAATTAAGACATGGGCATATCTTTTGGAGGGCTATCATTTAACCTACTATAGCCTCCAAGGCCTTACCCAAGCTGCCTCTGCCTCCCCCTGCAACTTTATCTCCCAAAGTTCTCTCTTCCTTGGTTTATAGGTTCTACCCATGCTGGCTGCCTTTTATTTTCTTGATGACAGACTCTTCCTCACCCTTTTTGTATATGATATTCTTTGCATATACTATTCTCTCCCAATCTTTACCTAGCTAACTCCTCCTTCAGGTATTGAATTAAATCTAACTTCCACGGAGAGGTGTTCCATGACCCCATAAAATTAAATGTTGACATGGTAATCTTTCCTTAAAGCACCCTTTTATTCACATCATTCCATAATTTTCCTGTTTCAAGTTGTACCTGCACATAATTTGTGTTTACTTGTTATTATTTGTGTCTACTGCTGGTCTATGAATTCATAACATCTCTGGCATACTTCTTTTGTTAACTTCTGTTTGTATACCCAAGCATAGGACAGCATCTGGCACATAGTAGCATTAACTAAATAAAGGAGTACTTAATCAAAAGGGTGCCTTCCATTTCCCTTTTGAACAGGATTAAGTAAGTGCAAATAAGTGGCTTAGAATGGAGACCAGACAGCTGAGGACACTGCTGGCCTGTAATAGACATTTCTCCCAGGCCAGCCTGAAAAAGTGATCAAGCTCCGCAAGAAGGGAAAAATAGTACTAGATTATTAGCAAGTTCTAAGGATTTCACTGCTCTTCAGTTCTGCCATGAACAACTATATACCTCAGGAACTCATTCACCTTTTATAATAATCTCTACCTCCTGTTCAAAAAGAATGATTGAGGCATTTCTGAATTTTAGGGAAGACTCCAATATAAATTGATTTCCACCCACAGACTAACACTAAACTGGGAGACTCAAATAATATCTACCTTTCTTAATTCTACTAAATTATAAAATGACTCAAGTATTAATGATAAATACTGCTGGCTTGTTTTAAAGTCTAGTATGCATAGAGGAACATAGAAAAAAGAAATCTTTTCTAGGACACATGAAATTCTCCCTCTTTTTTCCCCCCAATTTTTTAAAAATTGAGATATAATTAACATACCATAAATTCTCTTTTTAAAGTGTGCAAGTCAGTGTTCTTCTCAAAGTTGTACAATCATTGTCACTAATTCCAGAACATTCTCGCCACGACAATACCCCCCAAAACCCATCCTCATTAGAAACCATTCTCTATTCCTCCTTCCCCCAGCCTCTGGCAATCATTAATGTACTGTCTTTATGGATTCTGCAGTTTGTTTTTTTTGCATTCATGAAACTGAAACACAAAGATGAAATGATTTGCACAGGGTTGCAGTCAGTAAGAGAGCAATATTAAAACACATGTATTTAGAGTAATTTTTAAACAGCATAAAAAACAGAGATCAGTGAAAATATGTTTAGCTTAACTATACGTTATCTTAAACATGGCTGTAAGACATCTGATGTATAAAGCTAAGTCCTTAGGTTAGTAATTAACAGGCATTGTGTCAGGCTGGAGTGTAGGATATTAGGGAGGAATCACTAAAGAGAGAGATGCTACTGGTGAATAGGAATTGCATTTAGGGACAGGGTGATGCAGAGAGAAGGTTGAAGGAAGTGTGAGGCTCTGGGGTTTATAAGACAGACACATTTCTTTTCAGCCCATGGTTGTGAAATTAGTACTAATGTGCCCAGGTACCCACTTGCTTCCTTTTATAGTGCCCCCAGTAGGTCCCAGAGATCCTTGATCATTCTAAGTTTATGAGTAGTTAGTGCATAAATAGTGCTAACACCACTCCAGCATACATGCTGGTTAATGGCACCTTGCAAAATAACACAGAAAGCTTAACTCTTTAATATTCTACTGTCTGCATTTTCAAATAAGTTAAAGAATTATAAGCTAACTTACATCTGTTCCCATCAATAAATGTGATCCCATAGACTAAAATCATCAGAATCCACTTGCAAAAATAATCAGGCACACATTTTATTTTATATGTCTTAATCAGTATCGCAAATACAATTAACAAAAGGGAAAAAAAGATGGAAACTGCTCACATACAGAAGAAAATTCATCATTTAAAAGACATTAATCTGAACCTTAACATTCTTTGTGTCCATTAAAAAATATTATTAAAACAGAAAATAAAAAAAAAAAAGAAATGAGTCAATACTAAGTATTTTATTAATTAAAATTGAGACCCTAAACCTACTAGGGCTACACAACTTAAAAACAACCTTTTGTCTTTACCTAGCCTAAAATTTCTTCCAAAAAGATTAATGAGTTCACACTCTACAATTTAGACAAAAGGTAAATAAAGAATTAAGTACTACTTTACTTTTCAATGCTCCCTTTCCCCTTTGACATGAGCAATACAATACTAGAATAAAAATAATTCCAAAAAGTATTTCCAGAATATATCAGTTTTAGTTCTCCCATTTGATAGGGTGCTAAAAAGAACAACAAAGATAAATTAAAAAAAAAAGAGAGAAAGGGTGATTTAATTTTTTAAAAAGGCAGATGGAGCAAAGGGAGAAGGTAGGTTTAGGAAAATATCTGTTGTCAATCAACTCTTTTGTAAAATTAGAAACATTATTATAAATCCTCCTTAAATTACACCCAGGGCCATATACATTGCACATGGAATCTGGGTAATTTTTTGATAAACTTTACAATTGAGAGATAACTTACAGAAAGTTATTAACACATTTTCATTTTAAGAAGTAAAAAAGAAACAACATATTCAAGATACATAGCAATTTTACTTTTTGAAATGGTTATCCTAAAAATTTTTCTTAAATTCAAATATTGCAAAGTTCCTACTCTCTAAGTCATTAAGTAAACACTGAAAATTACTTATGAATACTATAAACTAATTCCTTATGAAGCATGCATTTTTCATAAATCTAGACCAAAATGAACTAATCGAGATTTAATTCTAAATTTAGCCTGTGATTTCTGGATATAATATTGGAATAAAACCAGTTGACTTCTCAAATAATTTAGTTTGGGAAATACTTATATTCTTAGCCCAAAAGATTATCTTTAGAATTCTAAATCTTAAAGATAAAAACAAAAATTGGTTCAACGGTTGTCAAAACGAAATGAATACAAATACTGACCACAACTTTCCATTCAATTCAAAAGAAATCGCTTAGCATGAGCTCAGCTCACGTAAGTTTTAAAACCAGTTCCCTTTACCAGCTTTATAACTGGATCGAGCATTGCTCAACATTACCTGTGTTGAGAGTGATGAGATAACAAGTGTTACAGAGATTGCACAATGACTGAATCTCAGAAGGGTATAATGTACAATCATAACATTTCAGAGCTGGAAGGGATCTTTAAGATCTAATCCAGCACCTACATTTTACAGATGAGGAAACTGAGGCCCAAACTGAGTCATCTGGTCAAATGATTTGACCAAAGTCACATTCCTCGTCTGAGTCATTCATTCTCCCACTTAGTGAAAGCTGCCTAAATTCCAGGCTCCTAATAGGTGCTGAAAACAAGCTGGAAGGCAGCATTTACCATTGTCAAGACAGTCTTTTCCCCTTGTTTTCTTAAGACAAATGCTTAAATGCCCTAATCAGCAAGAACTCATAGAAGAGTTCCACAGCCTTTGTAAAATTCGGCCCACTTTCAGTTTCACACATTTCAGTAAACACAGTTGAGTTTAACTTCAAAGAGGCCTCAATTGAATTTACTTTAAGTGATTAAGCATTAACAAAAGGAAGGAAGTATACAGTATTCTGAATGAGTCCCTCTCTAGTACATTCACAACTTAAGGAAGTGCAATCAAAAAATGCCCTAACACACAAACAAGTTCACAAATAGGACGGCTTACAAAATCAGAGCAACTTGAGGTATCAATATAGATAAGTTAAGTCCAAGTTTACAAAGTGTGGAATGTAAAGATGTCCCCATGTCATTCAGATACTGGTATATTTTTCTGAGATGTCTAAATGTTAAAAAGACCTTCAAACTCACATTCGAACTAATGTCCTCTTCTAAGGGCAGATACATCTAAACCAAGTCTTTCTCCTTAAAATCAACTCTTCGATTTCCATTTGATTAAAGAAAAATTAAAATAAAAAATAAAAAAAATCCTAAAATTTAATGTGCTAGCTAAATTCAAATTCTATATACAATCAAAATAACAATAGCTCAAACTGCACATTTATGAGTTTGGTTAAAAAATGGGATGTGCAGTGAACTTACCCATCAACATAAATCATCTCTCATTTTTCTTGGACTCTTACATTCTTTAATATCAAGTCTGGCACTTAAATGTTTTGTGTATCTCTATTCGCAGACAACTTCTTTATTGAGAAGCAAGAAACCAAAATGACAGAGCTGTGAAATAAAACCACCTTTAAGGCACTTTGAAACATTAAACAGCAGCTCTCCAAACACCCAGTTTCAGTGTTCTAGACCAAAATGAACCACAGATTCTACAGTGCTCTCACAGATGACCACTGGGTGATCGCTGATGAAATATAATCTTCACTGAGGATCTGACTTTCCTAAATATATCATCAGCTCAGGATGAAAATGCTGTTGTCCTCTTCTAGTTCTCAAACTTCCAGATTTGATTTTTATCTAGAGCATCACAAGTTCTCATCTGAACATTAGGTCGACCCTCTGGTGTCCGATAAGCACTAATACAAAGTCCTGAGTGTGGATGAAAAATGGTCCCATCTTCTTTAAAATGCCAAATAATGTTTGCTGGAACAGGGAACCCATCTTTTGGACAATTCTGCATTCCTACATGATTCTTTTGCTCAGGAACCTCCGCACATAACTCTGTCACAGAATTAAACCGTATTTCTTTGTTTGAAGTATATTCAAAGAACTGATTGCCTCCTTGACCATGGCATCCAAACAGTGAAAGGTTAGCACCTGTGGGGTTGTTGTCAGGAGAATTATAATCTAAACATTCAGAAGAGATCCCCATACTGCGAATAGCTCCGTGCCAGCCTGGCCTATCCTCTGGAACATGTAAATTCGAAAACACATTTTTCAAATACCAGTCAAAGCTTTTGCAGTTCAGCCGTTCTCGTAGTAATTTTCTTTCAGAAATATCACCATAAGCTTCTTTCCTTGCTGGAGGGTTCCGATTGTAGAAATGCTCTTTGTACTCATCCATCCACACTTCCGCTGCCCGAGCAGTATTCTGTAGGAAATTGGGCCGAGCATATGGTGCCCGCTTGGGGAATACATGGCCCACGTGGGAACACGGGTGGATCTCCAATTTACCTCCACACTGCCACACTCGAAAAGACAGCTCGAGGTTTTCACCTCCCCACACTTCCATTCCAGTGTCATATGTTCCAAGGTACTCAAAATATTTCTTGCTGACAGCAAATAGTCCTCCAGCCATGGTGGGCGATCTGATTGGGTCAATTCTCGATTTCCACCTGTCCCTTTCATGTTTGGGGACAGAATGCCACTGGAATGTTAAACGCCAGTCAAACCCGCCAATCATGGGTTCTCCAGTCTGCATATAGAATTCAAAAGTATTCCAATCAATGGTGTCTATAACAGGACAAACAATTGCTGTTTCGTCATCACCAATCCTTTCCAAAAGGGGTTCCAGCCAACCAGAATTACACTCGCAGTGACAGTCCAGGAAAGTGAGAACATCCCCAGTGGCAAAAGTGGCCCCAATCAGGCGGGCCCTAACCAGCCCCTCCCTCTTATTTGTTCTAATCAAGCGTACTCTTTGGAGATTGCTGATGTAGGTTTCAAGTTGTGTCTTCAAATAAACTCTGTCACTCAAGTCATCAACTAAGATGATCTCCTTCAAAAGGACTGCAGGAGAAGTTTCTAAAACACTGTGGATGGTGCGCAGCAAAGTCGACCAGGCTTCGTTATAGAAAGCAATGATAACAGAGGTGGTGGGAAGTCTCCTATAGTTAAACATCTTGGATTTACACTCGTACATTCTTTTATCCTCTATATGACGGTGCAGGGAAATCCTGTCACTGAGGTAAATATTGATGGCATATCTCTCAATGAGTTCTTCTTGCTGCTTCAGTTCAGCCTCGTTGAGCTGGAGTTTGCTGGCTTTCCCCCACTCCCCAAGTGCATGGTAATCTGCAGGGGGCTTCTCATAAAGCGGTCGAGACAAATCCTCTGTCTTTTTCTCAGGGTCTGAGAGCTGCCTTGGCCCCCGCTCCCAGGCAAGGCCAACTCCTGGGGAGGCATGGAAAGTGGAGACCGAGAGTTCCACTACGATATAGGCCACAGTTAAAAGTGCCAGCAGCAGGCAGCTTTTGCCTGCCCAAGTCCACCTCACGGCCATCGGGATCCTCAGAGCTAGGGCGCAGACGCGGCCACCAGAGTCACCACGCAGGGGAAAGGCTGGCGGATCCGCAACTTCAGTTCCCGGCACAGGTAGGAGTGAACTTCCGAGCAGGTCCGTCCTTTCGTGCAGGCGCTCGTCTCCTTTCCAGCCACAGGGGCTTCCCAAGGGTCACCTGAGACCTCTCAGTCCTCCGCCTGCAGCACAGCCCCAACTTCTCTCTCCCAACTTCCTCCTGCAGGTCTCACAACTTTTCACAAACTCTCTAGCCAACACCCCATCCTCCCTGGGCGGAGGACAAACCCCTCCCTTTCCCACTCACTCCTCCTAGTGGTTAGTTCATGAAACTTGCCGGCCGGCCCAGGCCCACAAGAAGGCTGTGCGGGAAAGGATGGGGGCCCGGGACCGGTGTGACCAAGGTAGCCCTGGCTCGGGCTCACTCTGGCTCCCACTGCACCCGGCCGCGCCGGTTTCCCCGAGTCTCCGGCCGCCCTCAACCCCCACATAGGTCCTCGGAGATTCTCCTGGAGGCTTGACAAGAGGCAAGGTTCTAGACCAGTTGAGCGTTTACCCGATCACACACACACAAAGAAACTTACCAAGTTGTTTGCCATTGGGACTAAAGTCCACGGAGGTGATCGCCGCTTTGTGGCCTTTAAAATAACGCTCCAGAACGGGGTCCTCCTGGGAAGGAAAGTTGTCAAGTTTTGAAAGCAGGTGCAGACCTCGAATTCGGGGGATCGGGGACGAACGCTGTCCCCTGCAGCGGGGTCCGGCCTGGGAACCGCCACAGAGGCGGTGGGTCTGCGGAGCAGGATGCCCCGCACGAGCACACGCGGGGCGCCACCCCCGCAGAGCCTGCAAAATCCTCTGTCAGCACTTCCCAGGATCGAGCGCGCCTGAGAAACCTCCCGGGCCGCTCGTGTAACATGCAGGTTCCCAGGCCCCGCCGCTGGCACAGCAGTCACAGGTGCAAGGCGGGGCCCCCGGCTTTGGTACTTTTTAAAAACCTCCTAGGTGATTCTGACGCAGGCGCTCCACGGAAACCCTCAGAGAATTCTAGGGGCCATGGGATTGCAGGGGCTTAGTCCCGAGCTCCGAGACGCGGGGAGAAGCGCCCGGGAGCCCAGCCAGGGCTGGGCGCTCCCAACGCCCAAGTAGCAGAGAGTGAGACGTGGGCGCCCGGGGCGAGGAGCTGGAGGTTCAGGACTCGGCTGCGGACACCTGCCTCCACCTCCCGCCAGGTGCGAGAGCGGCCGGGACCTGGCCCCGCACCCCGCGGTACTGGCTGCGGGGAGGCGCCCCCCAGCACGTCCTTACCGGGGCGGAGGCCATGGGGGGAGCGGTGGGCTCCCGGCTGCTGCCGGTGGGGGAAATGGGGAAGGGAGGGGACGGGGAAGGGGGGACCGTGCGGCGCCCGGAACCGTCTGCCCTGAGCGGCGGCGCCTCCCGGTCTCTACAACAACGGCGGCCCAGTCAAACCCCGCGCTCCAGGCGTGGCCAGCCGAGCCCCGAGGCTCCGCGGGCGCCGGAGACGGCTCGGCCTCAGCATGCTGGCAGGCGGGACGCCCCAGAGTCCTATGCGACCACAAACCAAAGCCAGTGTGTATTAACACTCGCACTCCCGCGGCTTGACCCCAAGAAGGAGGGTAGTAACTAGGATAGGAATGAGAGGATTCGGAGGGAGAGGATAATGAGTCTATGATCGATGCAATCAGAGTTCTATTACACGTTAAAGAGATAGCGTCTGCGCATTTCAAGCAGGTCCGCGACAGCTTGTAAGGACGGGGAATGGAGCTTTGATGTGAATTAGGGCAGCTTGCTAGTTGCTAATCTATAAAAAGGAACTAAACGTCTAGAGGACAGATTTGAATTTATTTAATTACACTTTTCACACAATGTCCTGTGTGATATAAACGTGATGAAGAAATGGATGTTCTGCCTCTGTTTAAAGCTTTTTCTCCTATGTGTTTCTATTCTAATCTGCTCATTTGTGTATGTTTTAGAGCAGCCAACTTATACAGCAGCATATTTAGTCTTTAGGAAGACTTAAAAATAAACATTTTTTTGTTGTGTTTAAATTATTAGGCCACATATTAACTATAGCAATTTCTGCAGCAGGTTTTCTTACACATAATATCATTTGTGCTTCTGTAACACTATGAAGCTGATAAAGTTACAAAGTGTTACCAACGATTACAGATTATAAACTTGATTCTTAGATATTTTACATATACTTACATATACTGTCAAAGATCACACAGAGGCAGCTCTTCCAATTCCAAGTCCGTATACGTTTTTACCTTGCCTTAAAGCATGAAGGACTCAGCTGAAAATTACATATAGAATAAGAATTCTTGGCAGCATAAGATGGCATAATAGATCACGGGCGGTAAAAGCTATGCAAATGAAAGGTATACTACACAACTTAATTACAGGTTCTCTAACTGTTGTCTAAGTGATACAATTTAGTTTTAATGAATACTGTACATAGCAATTAGGCAGATAGGAAGTAGCTTTAGATTGCAGTATAAGTTTAATTTGAATATATGTTTGTTAAATATCTGCCGTATGTTTGGCTCTGAGGGATGCAAAGGTGACTGAGATATTTTCCCTGCCCTCAAGAACTCAACAATCTACATTTCTGAGCCTCATATTTTAACATGTATAATGATAACTTAGGGGATCTCATTCCCAGAGATGCTGATTCAACATATATGGGGTGAGATCCAGGGTCTTACCTGATGTAATAAGATGTAATAAGCTCCTTAAGGGATTGCTATGGGAGTCTCAGCTGTGTATATTCTAGTCTAGAAAGTGTTGTCAGCAAACTGTGTCAGGACCCTAAGCTTTGCTTATTACCCAGTCTAGGTATGGCGTTTTGTTTTCATTTATTTGTTTGTTTAGTTTTGTTTTTAAGGCTGACATATTTAAAAATAATGCTGGATTCTGGTGGGAATGTAAAATGGTATAGCACTATGGAAAACATTTCGGCTGTTCCTAAAAAGTTAGCTCTTAGGTATGTACCCCAAAGTATTGAAAACAAAGACTGGAGGAGATACTTGTGCACAAGTGCTCATAGCGGCATTATTCACAATAGCCAAAAATTGGAAACAACTCCCATGTTTAACAGAAGAATCCATAAGTAAATGTAATATGTACATAAAATAGGCTGTCATTCAGTCATGAAAAGGAATTAAAATTCTGATATATGCTGTGACATGGATGAACCTTGAAAACTTTATGCTAAGGAAATAAGTAAGACACGAAGAAACATATACTGTATGATTCCACTTATATGAGGTATCTCAAATAGGTAGATTCATAAAGATGAAAAATGGAATGGAAGTTATCAGGGGCTGGGGATGAGGGAGAATGGAGAGTTATTGTTTAATGGGTGCAGAATTTCTGGTTGAGATAACGAAGTTCTGGAAAAGTATGGTGATGATTGCAAAACATTGTTAATGTACTTAATGCCAGTGAACTGTACAATTAAAAATAGTTAAAATGATAAATTTTATATGTATATTTGTCTACAATAAAAAATAATAATTCTAGAAACTCTGAGAATAACCAAGACTTCAGGCTTTCTCACAGCCAAGATATGTCTAATAATTGGGTACAGTAGATTACAGAAAAAGCAAAAGTTGCAGATGTAGAAACTAGTTTATAAGAACACAGAAATTTTTAAATAGTTTTTCCTCTAGTCTTTTAGCAAAAAAAAAAAAAATTAACTTTTTTTCAGTTATCAAAAATACATGTTCTTAATTGATCAGAAGAAAAACAAATTATTTATTGTTCCACTACCTAAAAGTTGAATTTAAAATTTTTTATCATCTACCTATAGTATGCTCACCACATGCCAGGTACTCTTCTAAGTACCTTACAAATTCTGACATTTTATCCTCATAAGAATCTTATTAGAGAGATGCTATTATTGCTATTTCCATTTTACAGATGAGGAAATTGACATGCAGAGTTACTTGCCTGGTACACAGCTAGGAAGTAGCTAAGCTTTAAATTTTGGTGGGTGCCTCCAGACTCCACTCTCTCTCTTTAAAAAAAAAAAAATTAATTTTATTAGTTTCAAGTATACATTACATTAGTTAGACATTTATATAGTTAATAAAAAGATACCCTTAATTGCTCTTTCTCTCCTCTGGCTCCCCATCTAGCCATTACATTAAATAATGTTAACTACATTCCCTATGCCATGCTCCTCATCCCTGTGACCTGCTCCTCATCCCTGTGACCATCTGTCAACTACTAATTTGTACTTCTTTAACCATTTGCCACATTCTCCCAGCCCCTCAACCTCTCTCCCCTCTGGCCTCTACATTTGTGCAGACTTCTCTCTCTTAATCACTGAGTCATGATGCCTTTTGCGCTGATTTCAAGCATATTGTAAATGCGTAAAATTCAGTATCTTAGCTTAACAGTGTTTCACAAAAAGGAAAAAAAGTAACATCTTTGTTTCCATTCCACTGTTCTCATCTATTACTCCAAACTGTCCCTCGCATAGTTCTTTTTAATATTTGATTTTATTCCTCTTTGCTATTCCTCACCTTTGCAAACATCAAAAGCTGAGATGGACATTTGCAAAGTAGCCAAGGCTGGAGATATTTTTTCCTAACTTCAAGTCTACTCGAGTTCATGTAATTGCTACAATAATTATTCGTGACCTCCCTAAATTGCAAACTTGTTAACCTGAATTTCCATTCCACAATATTTCACAATATTTGAAAATCTACAAGGTATCATTGAAGGCCAAGTACTAGGTAGGGCAAAGGGATCCTTTAATTAGCCCTCCTTTTTCAGGCCCCCCTCAAATCAGAAACTAAACTTATCCTTTTGAACACTGTAAAGGGTTGTTTTTATTTTAGCTCCAGTCATTCTTCAGTTAATTCATTTCAAAAGTTGAAAATTCAAGCAGAGCACAAAAGTGCCATCTACCGTCCACAGTCCTACGTGGCACGTAAAGTGAAAATACTTTGGAGCCTGTTTCCAGGCAGTGTAACCTTCTTTTGGATATAGTTGCTCTGAAGTATAGGAGAGTACACAGAAAGGAAAGTACAAATTGGTTTGAATCATTAAAGTGTTAACATTTTTTTTGAAGACTGTCAAAGCCTACAACTCAATGCCCCAGAATAACAGTTCAGAGCTGGCCCTCAAATAAGTGTATGTGTGTAATATTTATTCAAGATGAGCTCAATAACAGGCTACTACTTTTTATTCATGTCGTGTGACTTAGTGACCTTCTCTATGGAACTTAATTTTGGTCCTCAGGCTATACAGATACGTTCATTTCACAAATATTATTGAATACACTACTAGGAGCCAGGCGATATATTAGGTATTAGATGTGCCAAGATAATTAAGTAAAAATGAGCACAAGGGTAGAAAATTCAGCTTCTGGGCTCTAGCAGACAATCTGAAGAAGAAGAAAATACTAATGTGAAAGGATATATGCACCCCATGTTCATTGCAGCATTATTTACAATAGCCAAGATATAGAAGTAACCTAGGTGTCCATTGATAGATGAATGGCTAAAGATATCACACACACACACACACACACAATGGAATATTACTCAGCAATGAAAAAAAAAAGAATGAAATCTTGCCATTTGCGACATGAGTGAACCTAGAGAGCATCATGCTAAGTGAAATAAATCAGACCAAGACAAGTACCATATGATTTAATTTCTATGTGGAATCTAAAAAACAAAACAAATGAACAAATGAAACAGAAACAGACTCATAGATACAGAAAACAAATTGGTGGTTGCCACAGGGAAGAGGGGTGAAGAGATGGGCAAAAACTTCCAGTTATAGAATAAGTAAGCCATGAGGATGTATACAGCACAGGAAATATAGTCGATATTGAAATAACTTTGTGTGGTGACAGATGGTTACTAAACTTATTGAGGTGATCACATCATAAAGTATAGAAATGTCGAATCATGATGTTGTATATCTGAAACTAATATAATATTATATATCAACTATAATTTAAAAAAATGAATAAGGCAGGCGACCGTGTAAGGTTGTCAGATACAATACAAAATGCCCTAACTAAATTGCATTAACTAACTACATGGGACATGGAATCCTGAACTGAACTAACCCTCCTCTTCCCCAATTCAGCCCTCCACCCCAGCAAAGCAGAGTTAACCCTACAGCAAAGAGAGCAAACCAGAATATTCCCTCTTTGCAGACAGAAGGGTGTGAAGAGGGGGGAGAGTGAAAGAGACTGAGCTGAGTGTGCCCTGCCTTTTCTTCCCAACTCTCCAGGTAACTCTCTGCTACCTCATACCTCCCTCACCTCCCCACCCCTGCCCCAGAACAAAGAAGGAAAGGGGAAAGGCCAGGAATATTCCTCCGGGGTAGTCCCACCCTATGGAAACTGGAGCTGGAGAATAAGTTCTTTCAGCCCCCAACCAGTTGAATTTGGTCCATGAGTCTGCAGCTATGTTCATCTGATTCAGTCCCTAAATTTCAAAGTTTAGAGTTCAGTAGAGAATCGATGTAAGCAAATGCATCCATGTGCTATCAGTACTTTAATGAGCATCTATACAGGATCCATCTCTGGAGTGTGTATATGTGTTAGAATGTTACAGAGGGGACACTCCCTGCCCTTTCTGTTAATTTCTAATG